GCTTGACTTTCTGCTCATGAGCTGAAGTATTTCCATGCTGTTTATTTTAGAAAGCTACTGCATGAGTAAGAACTTTCAAGGACAAAATGTTGCCTACTAATTGCTTTTTTAAATCCAGCTTTATTCAGAACTGATGCCTGTTTGTAACTAACTCATCAAATTCCACAGAAGTCAGGCTATCATCACCATAAATACTGTAATGGATCTTATGGCCCAAAGTGGCAAGGATTATCACTACTCTGTATAACCATTGAGAACTTCATAATTACAGTAGGAATTGAACTGTTATTCACTCCAGATGTCCAACTTAAGTGAAACTTCTTAGTTTTTATGGGACAGAGCATGCACAAGAGAGACCACCAGGGAAAACTAGGGCAACTATCCAGTCATAGGAAGTTCATTACACTGTAGAGTAATTTTCTTTTGTAGATTTCATGCAAACTTTCTCTCTAGTTGGTTTGCAAAGTTAAATACAGGACAAGGGAGTATTGAGACCTGGAGACACTACAGGTTCTTTAAATGAAGTCTAGTACTTTGCTCTCAATGGCAACCGCATCACAAAATTGCTTTAGAAACAGACCAAATTCCAGCCTAAAAGTTGTTAAGGTTTTTTCATCCACGTGTATTGAAAGGCTTTCTCAGAAGCCTGCTGCTTTAATAGGTAGAAGCAGTCTTCTTATTCAAACCTGTGAATAGTCATTTGTTTTCCTGCTGGTATTGCTCTTCAGCTTAAGTAACCAATTCCTCATTCTCTAAGTTTACATTTCCAGGATTACATTCAAGAACAGATGCTGCCTCAGCAACTAGGAGAGGGGATAGATAAAAAGAAAGCACATAACTAGGGATGCATGAAAAGCCTATCATTCTGTGCAGTGGCAGGGGAGGCAATGGTAAATTGTCTTTACCTGTTTGAGATAGCTCTTAATATCTAATAGCGGGCACAATGTATAGGTGCAAAAATTAGATTTACTCAAGCAAATTCCAAAGAATAATTTTAAGTATTTGATCTCTAGTTTGTGTTATGTGAGCAACTTTTCCAAAGCGTTGTCTGTACTATTGTACGGCATCTGTGGTATGAGCAGATCTGTGGTATAGCGTTATCCATTAGCAGACGCCATGTCCCCAGACATAAATCTGTATTCTTGCTGCATTGGTTGGTCGATTTCTTTTTGTTAGCAGTTGTTGAATGCTTCTGGTCATTTGGAGGGATTGTCCACAGCACTAATGAAATCTTGCATGGCCTTTTAAGTAATGTACATGCTCTGCCTTACATAAAATGGCTTTCTGCACTGAGACAGTGGTGCTATCACCACGTTCATTCCACTATATAAAATCTACAACACTGCATATTTGCTTAACACTTCTATCTGACCCCCAACAGTGTGTCATCTCTGCAGACCTCATCCCTACATCCCCAGGCTTAACAGCAGGTCACTGGTAGTCTTCAAAGTAAACAGCTGGGTTTATTTTTAAATAAATGTTGTTTACTAAATACCAAACAAAAATACTCTCTTCGTTCACAGCTTTGCCCAGCTTTCCATTTCCAGCTTTGCACACTAGGACTGATTCTACCTGAATTCTCTCAACAGTATTTGCAGGGCAAATATGTTTTTGTATCATGGGAAAAAAATCTGTTTCCTCTAAAAAATTCTGTTTAGCGTCACACAGACTGCAGGCACAGACTGCAGGCATTATCATCATCTGCTCATTTGTGTATTTTCACTACTGTGACTAGCAGCAAGGTCATTGACCAACTTGATGTCAGGCTCTAGGACTGAATGATTAAGAAACAAAACCATTCTCCAGAGTCTACCTTGGCAAGTGGAATGAAAAATGTCATTAGTTCCAAGCCTTGGCAAAAGCTTGAGAACATCTCTGATGCAAGAAAAAAATAGGTAAGATAAAGTATCTTGAAAGAAAATAAACATATTCACATTCAGTTCAGTATTTTCATGTTTATTGTAAATAAAGGAAGATCTCTGAAAAGTTGGTAAATTTTGGACAGGTTACTCTATGCAGCGTTTTGTGTGAGAATCACCCATTCATAATACTCATAGTTTCCGTACAGGTGCATTTGCCAAGAAACATGAGAAGGATATTCCAGATCTCTAGCTGTTAACAGAGTGTCAAATTTGAGAATGAAGGGGATATAATTAAAAAAGTGGAGAAGATCTTGCATGTTTTTTTTTTTTTTTTTTTTTGTACATAGGAACATAGGGTCAGATTTTTCCATATGACCATGATTTGCCTTTCTGATGGATAAAGGCCTGAAGGGCAAAGGCAGCTGCTCTTTCCTTACCATCATCCATCACATGCAAAACTGCACTATCTTCTCCCCCCTTCCTTTCCATATGGCAATGTGTCACAGTCTGGACATAGTCATTTTCTGAGTGTTGGGAACAATCGCTGTCTTCCTGTCTAATGACTCGTTCACCATTATTCAAGTCCCTCTTATGATCTGACCTGTTTCAGGACTTCCTATCACAGCACGTGTGGAGGTCACTGCAGCCAGAAGACTTCCAACAGCAGAGATGAAATAATAACCTAAAGCTGATTGGACTTCACAGATGTTTTTTGGCTGTTATGCCTAGACTGTGGCTGTAACCTTTTCAGCTTTGTCAAGATTTACATCTCTACTGTGCCCACAGTATACATCAAAAAAATCCAGGATGGGCTTTGAAAACAGATGTTTCTCCAATTCCGTTTAGACAGGTTAGCAGATTTCCTGAGGAGCAGGTTCTCAGTCCGTTAGTCAGTACTAAATTTTTAAGCAAGGAAATAATGGGTAGGTTTGGAGAGGTGGACTTACCTTCGAACATGGTGTGGTGTTAGTAAGACTGTGGAGTTTTAGTGTCTGCAATTGAAAAATACATCTGGCCGGAGTACTTTTTGTCAGAAAATATTCATTTATTGAAGATAAACTTCTGAAGTATCAGTTTTGATAAACTTTTTTAGTCAGGAAGGCTTTGCAGATACAAGATTTAACTTAGTAGGATGCAGTGAGATTGGATTAAGGTAAAATAGACAAGAGCTAGACAAAGGGAAAAAATAGCCAAACAGAAGTCTTATCTCAGGTTTTAGATTAGATTACTGGTCTGATGTGGGAGATATGGTTAAAGTGCCTGCTCCAGAGTGTGCAGAGATTCAAGTCTGTCATATCTGAAATGAATGCCAGAACTACTCTCTTTGTGAGAAATAGTTGCTTGGATGCTTTTGTTTGCATTTTTAATTCCTTTCAAGAAAGTTATCATTCTAGATCTTATTCTGTAACAGAACTTCAGTTTTTTAAATGAAGATTACTAAACAGGAGTCATGAGATGGGGCAGGAATTGTGATTCATTTTCTCTGTCGTGCAGATCTAAACTGCTCCATTGAAAAGGGTCCTTCTTATTCTAAAATCCTTGAAACTGTGGTAAATGTCGTTCTGGTATCAACTGACATTTTAAAAGTAAATCCCAGCTTGGGAAACAAAATACATAACAATGTATGGTCCAGAGGAGGGGTTTTTGAGGAAAGGTGTCAGAGTCTTGAGCCTGAGAGCCTGGGCAGAGCTTCCAGAGCTGGCAGTGAAGAGAAATGAACATATACAAGAAGGATGACAGATAAGCAAGCAACTCTGTTTTATGTTGTTATTTATTTGCAAAGAGTGATGAATCAATGGCCACTCAGCATCTACATGATTTAGAAATATTTCCAAAGAATTATTTTTATCAGAGGTGGATGCTTACTGTCCTTCACCACACCCTACTTGCTTACTCCCGGATGGGTTAATTCTGCAGCTCTTGGAGTGGTGTGCCACTTTGGTGAATTCATTACATACCCTAGCTTCATATTGACATCTATGTAAAATAGTCTTCTCTTACACATTTCTCTCCAATATGTAACTTATTGGTATTTCCAAAGTTTTGAGTTGTTCTGCTTAGGATAATCACTGGAAGAATTCTTCTCTTGAGTGCAATGAGCAGCATTCCCATGCGTCTTCTAGAATCAGACACTCATCTGGGGTCTTTCTGAAAGTTTCCCCTTCCCTGGCGTTTTTCTTTATTGTGAACTAAACTAAGTAAAGGTCGGTCCATGAACTTTCACCTGAGCTGATTTGTTCATAAAATATTAAAGAGGTTTATCTATTTATATAGAAGAGCAGCTTTAGGAAACTTTATTAAAAAAATTGTAAAAGCTGTATCTCATCCTAGCACTTCAGTGTAAGATCAGAGCACCTTATGTGAGGTGATTCAGCACAGCATCTTTGCTGACTGTAGAATGTGCCTTACTGCCGTATTGTTAATAGGATATTATTTTTTCTGCAGTGTGTATTTTGTTCGTTTTGTTTCCCTGTAGGATGGATTTTCATCATTGTTTCAGCATGTTCCATAGGCATCTGGAGATTTAATTTGACTAATTTAGGAGGCTTCTATCCATTATTGGGAATTTCCAGGCCTACAGAGAAACAACATGATTGCTGAGTGCTACCTCTTCATTTTGATGCAGAATCTGCCATGGTAGCATCCATTACCTTCAGCAATGAGGCCATCTAAGACAGCATGAAAAAAATCCATTTTTGTGACTCTTCTGGGTGGCGGGAAAGAGGTGTGAATCACACCTGTAAATGTTATGACTGTTTTGAGACAGGTCACATGATCCTGCTCCTTGCCTTCTACAATAGTAATGCTCTTTGATGAGTAAGGAGAGGACAAACACTTCAGACTGCCAAAGTTATTTCTCTGGACTGATGCTTTTTCATCTGCCAGTGAATCAGCTTAAGCACCTATTCCCTTCAACAGAATAAAAAAAATAGTTTTGAAATTTTAACAGTACATCCCCTAGCCCAGAGCTGGCATCATCTATACAGCCATAAAGCAACCAAACCTGTAGCAGCTTCTCTATGTAAGAAGTTCTCCCTACAGCAGCAGCACGAGTTAGATATAAATAAGATCACATTCCTTGTGGAATCTGAATTAAATGGTTTCCTTCTCTTTCCTGTCTCATTTTCTTCCCCTTAGCCTGCCCCCTTGGTTCCTTTAAACTATCTGTGGGAGATGACCCCTGCCATCTGTGCCCTGCCCACAGCCATGCTCCAGTGCCAGGCTCCAGTGAATGTGTATGTCAAAACCGCTACTATCGATCTGCTTCTGACACTTCTGATGCTCCCTGCACTGGTAAGTATTTGGATAGAGTGTTTGAAAGCAAGGAGGAGGGTGATTAATGGCAGGGAATGTGCTTGTACGCTGCAGGGGAGTTCCGACTCATCCCTTCCCATGGTCCTTGAAGAAAGAGAGCAAAATTTCCCTTTGCTTCTTCAGCTAACTGTAGGGTATATCCACTCACTAAATGTAGATGAGAATCAGAAGTACAATGCTGATACATTGGTGACACTGTGAGAAATACTGTGATGCTGCAATAACAAACACTCGAAAAAAGGCGAAATTTAAGATGACACATGCAACCTTAAATGAGTCATTGCAAGTATGCATAAGATGCAACTTCTGGTGAGAGAATGTAAGAATACTAACTTTCTCACAAAATGCTAACCTCATTTCATATACAGGGTAAATGTGTTTCACTAAAGGAGTTGACCAGTATTTTCTTTTCTTTGCTATTGAAGGTGTGCACACAGTTCAGATATTTCTCTGAATTTTATTTATGGGAAATGATGAATTTTCTCATTGGCTTAGCTTTGATTCTCATCAGTTATGATTTTTTCAAAGTAAAGGTACTTTCTCAAAACCCTATTTGATCAAGAAGGAATAATTAACCGCAGAAAATGAAACAGGATAGATGATTAGCACTCAAAAATCTAGTTTAAATAATGCGTCAAACATCACGCATGAACTTTGGAAGTGACAAAGAAGGAATCCACTTCTTAAAGCAACTTGCAGTCACATTATGGCTGCAAAGTCAGATGCTCAGAAATTCAGAAATATGATCACTTTTCTTTCTGTAATCCCTTACTTTATATAGTGCACAGAATCAATCTTCAGCATCATCAAGCAAGTAGTAATATCTTTACTTCACAGCACTGATTTACTCCCTGAGCAGTTATTCATCCTTTGCACTAGGAAAACCTAGTATGTGATTATGCAATTAAAAACTGTATCATGGTGTAAATGCCGAGTGCCCAGTAAAGCTCACAAAGGCAAGCTTAATTCTGGCATTGCCTAACAACCAAATGCTTGATCTTATAACTATTAATTTTTCTTTTTTTTTAACAGAGTCTTCTGTGTGCAGTTTTTCCAGTATAATTTATTTTTTTAGCAACACTGGAAGTAAAGAGTCCCCAAGAAATTATAGCAAGTGAAAATACTGAAATGCTCCAGGAATGAAGTAGATGATTGCAACCTGAGAGATCCCCCACAAATACCTCCTCCACTTGCAATAATAGAGGGTGTCATCCATTACATTAATCAGCAGTAGGCAGAGAAAAGGCTTTGCCTGTAGGTTTCACAGATACTTGCTGATAATAGAGGAATGGTGAGAATGAGGATTCTTGGATTTCATTTCAGCCTCTGGAAGGAAACGTTCTGCTCATGTTTCTCTTGTCCCTCCCTGCTACTAAGCCCAGCCTCTCTATTATCCCTGTCCCTGTCCCTTCCAGTCTTGCCTTGTCTCCATGCCAAGGTTTAGCAGTGCCACACCGCTGATGTTTTGGTTTGAGTTGGTTTTTTTAACCTTCCTGAGCCTTTCCCTTTCTAAACCTCCAGTATCTTGTCCTATTCTCATTCCCATGCTATCTTCTCATCACTCTGCCCATTCCGCCTTCTCTTCACTGTCCATGTGCCAGCAGGGCAAGTGTTGGACACGCAGAGTAGGCAGTTTTCCTGCTCTCAAATTTTACTCCTGATGCCCCTCAGGAATCTAGCTAATGGCAGGAATAATCATAGGGGAAGAGCTGCTCAGCTTCTGCAATAGATGCAACAAGCTGACTGATGTCTAAGAGAATTCAGAGAAGTTAGGTGCCAAATGAGAGACTTTTAGAGGTCTCCATAGGGCAAAACCTTTACTGAGCTTGTGTAAAATTAAAACTTTGAAAGGTCTGGAGATTCCCTAACTATTGGTGTTTCTTTAAGGGAAAAGTAAAAGCCTTGCCCTTGAAACAAATGACACTTCTCATCCATTTTGTGTCCTTAAAATGTAATAGTGCAGTTGCACCTCAATGTCTGTAATTGTATGTTCAATGTAACAAAGAGTATGTTTTTCCTAACCTTGTTCTGAGACACAGCTGGAGAAGAGCAAGAGTGAGAAGAAGCAGCAACTTGTTCTTCTGTTCTTTTTCCCCTGCTTTATTTTCTACTCCCTCAAAATGCTGTCCCATTCTTTCAAAGGATTTTGATATTTCATTCTGTCTTCTAGGCATTCCCTCTGCTCCCCGTGATCTTAGTTATGAAATTGTTGGCTCCAACGTGCTTCTGACCTGGCGCCTCCCCAAGGACCTGGGTGGCCGCAAGGATGTTTTCTTCAATGTTATCTGCAAAGTGTGCCCAGCTGGGTCTCCAGGGCCATGTGTGCGCTGTGGGGACAGTGTACAATTTGAACCACGCCAAGTGGGCCTGACGGAAAGTCGTGTGCTAGTCTCCAACCTGTTGGCCCGTGTGCAATACACCTTTGAGATCCAGGCTGTGAATTTGGTGACTGAGTTGAGTTCAGAAGCACCCTACTACGCAACCATCAATGTTAGCACCAGCCAGTCAGGTGAGGAGACCCCTTTATCTGAGTCCCATTGTTTCCACTTCTGTGTCTCATATAATTTGCTTTTGTCTTTCACATCTTGCAACTTTGCCTCCTTGCTTGTGTGTTGTGCCCTTTTTTAATCTTGCCCTGCTAGTTCCGTGGTTTCACCTCTGCCCTTCTCTCTCCTGGTTCCCCCCCTTCATGTTGCTTCATTGTGTGAGACAGGGGACACTATCAGAGCTTGATGGGAGTTTTGTTAGCACCAGCTTGCCAGAGCTCTTAGAGAGCATTTCTTCATGCTTTCATCTTCTCTTCCTCTTCTTTATCTTCTACTCTTCTCTATTTTCTCTTCTCATACTTTGCTCACTCTTTCTAGCATTTTTTCCTCAGTTCTCTGTTTACTTTTCTTCCTTGTCTTTCTATTCTTTCAGTCACTCTTATTTTTCCATCCTCTCTTGTTCCTGTGCAACATGTCCCATTCTCCTTGTTTCAGTTCATATTCCATGGCACTTTAACAAGGGTATTGAGTGATTCATCAAATCTATCAACCTTTGCCTTACTGTATATCAAAGTAAGGAGATGGAAGATAAAAAGACAGACAGGCACTGTATGACGAAAAAACAATGTTCACATTTACTCATCACTGAAATACACCTGACCCTGGGATGGCACGTGTTAATACAGTACAGCCCTTTGAGTCATAATGGATATGAAAACTACAATTTTCACAACCAGTGGGGAGGTGTTAGCCTAGAGTTTGATAAAGGATCCAGAAGTAGAGTCAACGTTACTGTTTTGCTAAAGTTGTCCTGGGTTCTTCCACAAGCCATATATTTCCTTATTCTTGCCTTTTCAGCCTCACTGTTCTGATGAATGATCTTGGAATATTGTTCTCCTGTCAATATGAAAGGGGGATTTTTTTTTTATCTTTTACATGGTAGAAGTATTAGAATGTGTCTTAGAGTTGTAACAAAGATGTTGTGATGCAAGTAGCTAGGAACTAAGCCACATGGATGACTAGGAACTAAAATACTAATGGCTTGTGTGGACAGACAAGGGAGGGGAGAGATTAAAGGATCGAAGAGCCTGTCAGACTGATGGATAAGATACAGGAAGCTTTTATTATGGGGGAAAAGGGAGAACACTGTCAAGTGAACTCTGAATTTCTGTAAATATCCTATACAAGGACTGACTTACTGAGGCACCTGGAGAAATCCAGGTATGTATGCCTGGAGCATATAGGCGTACAGTTCAGCTAAATATCTGCAATAAGAGAGCGGCATGTGTTATTCTTTACAAGCATGTATGAAGTGTAAGGGATGGAGAGGAATCGTATGCGGTTTACTGAAGAGGTTAGAATGAGATGTAAAGTGATGAAGAGGAGAAAGGGGGAGCAATTTAAACTGAGTGACAGAAAATAACTGTAAATATTTACAGACATGTAAACATTTAACTCATCCCTAATTAGATTCCTCAGTGTAGTTGTGGAAACTGCAAAACTAGGCTTCAGTAAAAAGCTCAAGAGAAATGCTGCAAAGCCAGATGTGAGCTGAAATAGTAGACCTAGTCCAGAGCTAATATCTGGATTCTGCAGAGTGTAGTGCTTTGGAAAGAAGGTGGAAGGAACAGTGCTGTTTGAGGGCAGGGAAGTGTTACAACTGGATCAGGATCTCCATTAAAGATCCTTCTATTTCTTCTATGCTATGGAAAGGAAGGGAACACGTATGCCAAGTAATTTCCTCTTGTTAGCAGATGCAGGATGTTTGACAATGGAGGTTTCATCCCTTTGGAACACTACCTGAGACACACTGATTAGCAGGGCATGGATAGGATACCTGGTCCTGTAAGAGGCTGCCAACAAGTGGCTGCTTTAATTTTGTTTACAGTAAGAGATATAGTTGGGTAATTCCTGTGGTAATTCCAGGGAATTTCTCTGGCTTCTGTTGGAGATAGACAGGTGTTCTATTAACATCTTAAAGAATTCTCTTTCTGCATGCTTCTCATCTCAGCCTCCTTCATCTATATCTGAGGTGAGTTAAGCTGGAGTAGCTGCTTCCTCCTCCTGCCCTGGAATCATCAAATCTACCCTCTTCTTTTGCTACTACTGGACTTTTCTGTCCTCTTCTTTGGCCCCTCCTGTTCCCCCTCAGTATGTGAAAGTGGTCTCTTGTGCGCTGAAGCAGTCTCAGGGAGGATAGCTTTCTGAAGCAGCAGTGTGTAACGAATGGTTGTTGCAGCTAGGTTCTTTGTGCGTGTGTGTGTGTTCTTGCTCTTCCCTGAGATCATTAGGCGTGAGCTTGAGATGAGCTGTCCTTGATTCATAGTGACAGCTCACGCTAACAAGGCCTTGGTTCCTCCATCATGTGGCCTGTCTCACTCAAGCCCCCCTCCCGTTCAATCTCTTCAGCAGCTTTTCACTTTAGTTTAGCTTCTTCCTATTATTATACATACAGAGATGGACACTCTGGGCTCTTATGTTCTAACAGAGACAGGGAGGGGACTGGAGGGCTTGGGGAAACAGAAAAAGAAAGCTGGGGAATGACAAGCTTTCTGAATGAATGGCCATAATATTACTTTGCTCTCCATTCAATTAAAGATGACCTTTCAGCCCTGGCAGCTTCTGAATATTCCTCAGACTCCTGCATCAGTCAGAGTTCTCTGACCTCTTTCAATTGCTGATCCATAAAATCCTCCTCCCCATCTTCTACCCCTTTGTTAGAGATATGTTGAGCAATATTTTGTCCTGAAACAGTTCTGCATCTTTTTCACCTGTTCCCTATTCAGTCTTCTTCATCTTTGTCTCCAAAACACCATTCCTCTAAGACTTTGCTTATACCTAACAGCCTCCTCACCCTGCTTCAAAGTACAATAGGATCCCTGGGTTACACAACCACATTTTTCTGTGATGCCTGTGTATGATGTCCCTCCTCTTCAGTGACTATGTTTCACAGCAGGATAAGAAAGGCTGGCACAGAAAAACTTGCTTTACTGCCATAAGACTTTCTCAGACTTGTTTGGATAATAATAATTTGACAGGCTTACTAAGGTAAATTACAAGAAGAAAAACTCTCCAGAGGTGAAATGAGAAAAAAGAGTTTCTTTCAGCTCAGATGTGACATGCCAAGCGTGTATACCTAAATGTCAGGATATGTGGAAAGATACTAGGAAGCCATTCCAGAGAGCATGAGCTGCAGGAAGGAAGGCTTTTCTGCAATTGTAGTGAAGTTATGCTTCTTGACAGAGCGGGAGCCTGATGCGGAGAAGCAAAAGGACTTAAAAAACAACTGTCATATTATTAAAAAAAAAGTGGCTATATTTTAATGGATTTTAACATCTCCAAGTGTATTAATCAGGGTAAACATATATCTTTTCTCCTGTCTCATGATATAATTCAGTTTTTCATTTAAAGGATCATGAAAATACTTCCTACGTGCGTAACTGTAACTGCCTGTCCATCTTTTTTTTCTTCCACTGAAGCATGTATCAGTGTCTTTTACCAGAGACATACTATTTGACTTATTCATCCAGTTAGTTATTACATTCCCAAAAAGCAGAGGGGGAGGCAAAGGCGCCAAAGGCTCAAATGTTGGAGCAAGTCCATGGAGATTTTTAAAAGAAAGCTTTTTTTTTTTGGGGGGGGGGGGGGATTGAATCCAGACCTTATAAGAGCTAGTGGAGGTGTATGAAGTTAAAGGTAATATGGCCAGGCTGCCTTGCACATGTGAAAAGGATATCTTTATACATAGCAGCCTTCTACATCAGCTGGATTCAGAGTAGTGAGGCTTGGCAATACTACAGATCTGCAGAACCACAGAAATCAAAGCTAGAGAGTGTGAAGACATGTATAAGAGGCTGGGGTGTAGACAGGGACAGCTATAGGTAGCGCCACACAATTTAAGAGAAGCTGCCAGAAGATTTTTCAGTGGAATGGTATGAGAGGAGGAAAAGACTTTAATGTCAAGTATTGTGTTGAGATTACGAAGGCAAATGGCTGAGCTGATGAGGGAAATTTGCTTGAAGATGCTTAGTTTCCAGAGTGAGGCACAGCAGTCCAATAGACTTACTTGACAGGAGCAAAGACACAGGCAAGGTATTTTCTTGATCAAAGAATAAAAAAGAAAGCTGTCAGAACCTATATGCCTTTGAGTTTTACCAGATTGAACATCCAGTAAAGCAAATGGAGTGTGAGCTCTCTGTCCATTGTCCATTGGATGAATTACACTAATTTCTAAAGTAACCATCTACTTGCTTATTTTTGATTCTGATTGCCAGCCCTGAGCAGTCACCTAAGGGCCCTGAGAATTTAACTGGATTATTTTCTTCTTGTCAACCTTATTGTCTTCAGTGGATTTGCCTAGGTGTGACTGGGACTTAATAAAAATGTTTGTGATCACTCCAATATAAGGATCTGTTCCAGTTTCCTCTCTGTAAGATGTCCTGTCTCTGCAGCATGAGCAGAGAATGAATGTGCTTGTTTTCACATTTCAGGTTTCAGTGATTGTTTAAATGAAGACGGAAGCTTTCTGACAAAGTGGAAATAGGAGGTATATAGGAAAAGACAGCACCTTGTGGTATAAAGGAAAATTCTCCATTGTTTATTAGGCATGATTGGAACCCCAGCAGAAACAGTAAGAGTAGAGATAATGATAGTGAAAATAACTAACCAATTTGCCTTTCTAAAGCACTCTTCATCTACAGGAGTTAAAGTTCAAGATTATGTTGGAGGAGAACCCAAGAGACTTTTACAGGATGGAGGTATTTTAGAGAAAGGGGCAAAACTAAACTGAAGTCTGTAGTAAAGACACACAGAGGGTAGTTTTAAAAAGAAAGAGAAGATGTTAAACGTATGGAGAAGGAAGTATTTCTGCTGCATTCTGACTGACCTACCCTCTTAACTTAACCAAGCTAAGATCCTCATGCTGTTTGCTGAGAAGATGAGGATAGGAAAGTAGCTGAGGATGTAAACATGGAGAAGCAAGAATTTGAGAGTGGTAGATTTAGGGGCTAGTATTAGAGAGGAA